TCCTTACCTTAATTAATGAATTTTCATAGCCAGATACAAAGTTAAGTTTCAATGAAAAGAGCACATTAATTCTGCCAACTACCCACAGGTCTTTGTGTCAGTCATCTTTCGATCTTAGCCTAAGCTGTGTCTCAATTTAACTTGGGGGTATTTGATATAGATCAAGAAGGTTTAAAGTGAATTTGCACATTCAACGGGCAAGTAGAGGGAAGCTTTTGCTGGAAGCGGTGGTTGATTGTCATGACTACATAGTCTCAGGCCTGGTTAGGTCATATAACATCAGAACATGATGATGTAGTACATCTGCCACCCCTTGGATGGGAAGAGAAGAGTTTGCCAATGTTTTCTTGTTCATGTTTTCTGAATCATGTTGTGGCAGAAAGGTGGTGTTCTCTAAGTTCCATTGTGTTCTGTGTTATGAAATAGTATTGACATATTTCCTGAGGTTAAGAACAGGTACGGGGGCTGGGATTGTGGCTTAGTGGTAGAGCCCTTTGCCCAGCATGTGTGAGGCACTGGGTTTGATTCTCACCACCACATTACAAATAAATAAAATTAAAAAATTCATCAACAACTAATAAAAATATTAAAAAAAGAACAGATACATAGCTGGCATCCTATAGATGAAGGAGAGAAAGAAACCATCTAGGTTAAATGGTAAATTTTTTGACCATAGATAGTAGAGGATGATATTTCCTTGTCTTCAGTGATGGGTGAATACAGTTTAGATGTGGGTTGGGGTAAAGGAGTGAAAGTACTGGAAGAGAGTTCCATGGCTCTATTTGGTGGTGTCTAAGTGTGTTCTGGAAGAAAGCAGGGAATCAGGGACTGCTTCCTGTTTTTGCATTTCTATCAACCATGCATCATTAATTAACAAACCAGTCTAGAGAGTTCTTCATGTCACTTATTAAAAGTTTCCTCTGTCCAAGTGGATTTATTATTTATGCATACTCTGTAGTATCTTCTAATCATCAGTTATTTGTATATGCCCTTTGCATAGAAAATTCTTATTCCTTTGGCCTCTTCCTTTTTATATTGAATAGTCCTTATGTAAAGACAGCTCAGTACTTTTAGGTTTTGGAACATCTAAGGACATAGAAAAAGAGTTGTCATTTTTTGGAGACATTTAGAGATACAGATTTTGGCCCTGATGTCAGGTGGTAGGTACTGCCAAAAAATATATGAGACCAGGGAATTTACATGGGGAGTTTCTTTCAAACTTTTTATTGATGTACCACACACTTAGAGAAGTACACAAATCCTAAGTGTATACCTTGATGAATTTTTAACAAACTGAACAAATCCCACATGGAATCTTGAAAAAGAAATTTATTAACATTCTTTCTTTTTTTTTTTTTTAAATATTAGATTGCTGCCCGGGAGCTGAATATTTATTGCCATTTAGATCACAACTTTATGACAGCAAGTATACCAACTCACAGACTATTTGTTCATGTACGCCGTCTTGTGGCTAAAGGATATAAGGTCAGCTTTGATTTTTAACTTCAAGGGAGAAGGGAGGGAGATTCTCTTCTAGGGAGTGAAAACATGCCTTTAAAGTAACAGGCAGGCTTTAATGAGTTTTAGAATTTGGCATTTGAAGAAATGAAAAATGTTTCATAATTATTAATGTACCTTGATTTTTAAGAGCATATTGTTAGGTATTTACAGAAAAAAATTTTAAGACTCAGTAACAGAGTGCTTCTTAGTGATTTGTGTACACTAGTCAGCTGCTCATGGTCCTTGTTGCTTAAACCTTATATCTGGACACTGTGGACTAATTCACTTATTTTAAGTGTTTTCAGAATTAATATTTAAGCATTTTGAAATGAGTTTGTTAGATTGGTTTTTCATCAGATTTGATATTAAATATCTCTTACTTTGTTGAAGGTGGGAGTTGTAAAGCAAACTGAAACTGCAGCATTAAAGGCTATTGAAGACAACAAAAGTTCTCTCTTTTCCCGCAAACTGACTGCTCTTTATACAAAATCCACACTCATTGGAGAAGATATCCTTTTTGAATAGTAATTTTTCTCTTAGTTGTTACAACTGCTTTGTTTTAAGGTGACATTTAAAAAAAAAGTCCTTTGGGAACCTTTTCGATGAGGTAAGGTGGTACAGTTACTTGAATCCTTGGATAGTGCACTAATGAAGAGGAAGGATTGATAGTAACTAGAAACAAACATTTTCAAATGTCATAGTGAAATACAAATTAATCATATACTAAGAGCAAGAAGAAGTGAACCTAATAAATGATAATGTCAAGTTAGCAATTGATTTGAAATTGTGTGTTTTCTTGGATCATTTGTAGACAAAAGGTTAGGTGTTTAGGGGCTATACGTTCCTTAGGATCTTCCTACTTTGAGACCTGAAAAATAATAACTTAGTAACTTAATGTGGAAAGAAAACTACGAAGTCAAAATTAAAATACACTTAAATGCTTATAAAATATAATATAGGCCATCTTCATTAATTGTTAATTCGTGAAGATTTTATTGCTTTTGAAAATGGATTGTGGGTAAAACTTTATTACTTTGCAGAAATCTTCAGTATGCCCAATGATTGCTGCCAAATTTATAGATTTTCATAAATTTGTTGTGTTAATTGAAGCAAAGTAATTTTAAAAGCAAAGTCATAAAATTCTGTTTTTAAAGCCAAATAGTTGTATATAAAATAAGGTGAGGGTGCATTTAATAATGTTTACTTAGGTTGGGTCTCTTATAATAAAATAATCTAGGGATAAAGAAGGCCTTAAATCATGTGCTAAAGTATTTCTTTTATGGTTTATTACAAATCTGCATACTTAGAGGCCTCTTAGTTTCTATGCAAATTCTGAGGATTATTTTGTTGTTTAAGATCACAAATAGTGAATAACTGTCATTCGGAGCAAACTCTAAACCATTTGCATCCCTTTGGTTGTTCTAATCTGATCAGGCTGTAAAAACATGGTAGTTTATTTTTTTCTTTTTTACCTAAGCTAAGTCTCCTACTTGAAACCCATTCGTAAAAGAGTATCCTTCCCTGCTTCACATCTGCTATGCGTATGGCTCTTTTTTTTAAAAATAACTTTTTAAAAATGAGTGCAATGGAATGTTACTCAGCATTAAAGGAGAATAAAATTATTGCATTTGCAGATCAATGGACAGAGTTGGAGAATATCATGCTAAGTGAAATAAGTCAATCCAAAAAAAAAAACAGGGACTGAATGTTTTCTCTGATAAGTGGATACTAATCCATAATGGGAGGGGGGCACGTGATGGAATGAGTTGGAGGAACTTTGGATGGAGCAAAGTGGAGGGAGGGAATGGAGCAAGGGGATAGGAAAGATGGTGGAATGAGACAGACATCATTACCCTACTTCTTGTGCAACCAGAGAAGTGAGAAATTATGCTCCGTTAACAATGAATTGAAGAACTTTCTACTGTCAGGTATGATTGATTAGAATAAATAAAAAAATTAGTGTGTTATGAACATACAGAAAGGCAAAATTCACTGTGGTGTATTCATATATGTACATAGGAAAGTTTGATCATGCTCATTCCACTATGCTTCTCTTTTCCCATCCTTTTACCTTCCCCCTAAATTTCATTTCTCCACACCATCAATCTCTCTTCTATTTTTATGGGATTCCCCTTGCCCTTGCTCCCCACTCTCTGTATATTTTGATCTAGTTTCCATTAAAAAAAAAAAATTGAATCCTTGACTTTCTAGGTCTGGCTTAATTCACTTGGCATAATGTTTTCTAGTTCCATCCATTTACCAGCAAATGCCATAAATTCATTATTCTTTATGGCTGAGTAAAACTCTATTGTATATATATACTATTTGTTCTTTATCAATTTCTGTTGATGGGCACCTAGACTGGTTCCATAGCTTGACTATTGTGAATTGCACCTCTAAAAACATTGATGTGGCTGCATTCTTATATTTTGCGGATTTTAGATCTTTTGAACATATACCAAGGAGTGGGATAGCTAGGTGTTATGGTGATTTCTTCCTAGTTTTTTGAGGCATCTCCATACTGCTTTCCATGGTGGTTGCACTATTTTGAGTCCCACCAACAATATATGAATGTACCTTTTCCCCTATCTCCTCACCAATATTTATTGCTATTTGTTATCTTGATAATTGCTATTCTGAATGGAATGAGATGAAATCTCCATGTTGTTTTAATTTGCATTTCCCTATATATATTTGCATTTGCTATATATGTTGATCATTTTTTCATATATTTCTTGGCCATTTGTATTTCTTCTTTTGAGAAATATCTGTTTAGTTCTTTTGCCCATTTATTTATTGGGTTATTTGTTTTTTTGATGTTAAGTTTATATATATATATATATATAAATATATATATATTTCTGGATATTAATCCTTTATCTGAGGAGCAGGTGGCAAAGACATTCTCCCATCTTGTAGGCTCTCTCTTCACACTCTTGTTTCTGTTGCTGTGCAGAAGCTTTCTAATTGGATGCTGTCCCACTTATTGATTCTTGGTTTTATTTCTTGTGCTTAATGAGTCTTGTTAAGTAAGTTGATGCCTGTGCCTATATGTTGAAATGTTGAGCCTACATTTTCTTAGAAGTTATAGAATTTCTGGTCTAATTCCTGGGTCTTTGATCTAGGTCTTTGATCTTTTTGGTTAAAAAAAATCGTTCTTTTTAGTTATACATAACATTAAGATTCATTTGGACATAATTATAAAAGCATGGATTGTAATTTGTTCTAATTCAGTCCCCACTACTTCCCCTTTCCCTCTCCTCTTCCATCCCCCTATTCCCCTCATTCTGCTGATCTTTCTGTTTACTTATAGTTTTGTTTTTAAATTAGTACCTAGTAGATAAATACATAATGGTGAGATTTCACTGTGGTGTATTCATATATGTATAGGAAAGTTAGGTCAGATTCATTCATTGTTCTTTCCTTCTCTTGTCCCATCTCCTTCTCCCTCAATCCCTTTCTTCTACTCCACTGATCTTCTATTTTCTTTGGTCCACTTTGAAATGACTTTTGTGCAGAGTGAGAGATAGGGATCAAGTTTCATTCTTCTACAAAAGGGTATCCAGTTTTCCAAGCACCTTTTGTTAAAATGGTTATCCTTTCTCTTTTTGGCATCTTTGTCAAGTATCATAGGGCTATAAGTAAGTATATGAGTTTGTCTCTGGGTCTTCTGTTCTGTTTCATTGGTCTTCATGTCTATTTTGGTGCCAGTACCATATTAATTTTGTTACTGAAACTCTGTGGTATAATTTGAGATCAGGTATTGTGATGCCTCCAGAATTGCTCTTTTTGTTCAGGATTGCTTTGGTCATTCTGGGTATATTATTCTTCCAAATGAATTTTAGAACTGGTTTTTTTTTTGTTGTTGTTCGAGTTCTGTGAAGAATGTCATTGGTATTTTGGTGGGGATTGTGTTGAATCTATATGCTGCTTTGGTAGTATGGCCATTTTGATAAAGTTCTGCCTATCCTAGAACATAGGAGGTCTTTCATCTTCTAAGATCTTCTATTTCTTTTTTCAGTGTTTTCATAGAGGTCTTTCACCTCTTTGGTTAGATTTATTCTAAAGGTTTTTTTTTTTCAAGTTATTGTAAATGTGATAGTTTTCCTGATTTCTTTCTCAGCGGATTCATTATTGGTGCATAGGAAAACAATATGTTGTTCTTGTATCCTGCTAAATTTGTTTATCATCTTTAGAAGTCTTCTCTTGGAGTTTTTCAGGTCTTCTAAACATAGGATAATGTCATCAGTGGACAGATAATTTGACTTCTTTTTTTCCTATTTCTATCCCTTTAATTTCCTTCTCTTGTCTATTTGCTCTGGCTTGAGTTTTATGGAATATGTTGAATTGGAGTGGTGAGAGTGGACATCCTTGTCTTATTCCTGTTTTCAGAGGAAATATTCTCAGTTTTTTTCTGTTCAGTATGATATTGGCCTTTGGTTTGTCATATATAGCCTTTACAATGCTGAGGTCAGTTCCTTCTATCCCTAGTTTCTCTAGTGTTTTAAACATGAATGAGTGCTGGACTTTGTCCAATGCTTATTCTGTATCGAAATAATCATGTGATTCTTGTCCTTAAATCTATTTATGTGGTGAATTCATTTATTGATTTGTCTATGTTGAGCTAGGCTTGCATCCCCGATCATGGTGTACTATCTTTATTTAGTGTGTTTTTGAATGTAATTTGAAGCATTTTATTAAGAAGTTTTTCATCTGTGTTCATCAGGGATATTGGTCTGTAGTTTTCTTTCCTTGATATGCTTTTATCTGGTTTTGGTATCAGGGTGATAACTGGCTTCATAGAACGAATTTGGCAGTGTTTCCTCCTTTCTTTTATCTTCTTATACCCAAATTGGATGTATCCAGACCAGCTTTTTCCAGAATTAGCTTTTACCTCTTGAGAATTGGATTAATGGACTCATTTTACACACACACACGCACACGCACAAATGCACACATGCACAACCTACACATATATACATTTATTTCTGATTTTTTAAAATGTCTTTTAAAACTGTTTTACCTTTCTGGGAGCTTTAGGTATGTTAAAGAAAAAAATTAATTTATACTTATTTTAGTATATTTATGCTTTGATTTATAGAATCAAGTATTTTAGAATTGTTAATAATTCAAGTCTCAGCATCATCCAATTAAAGGGGGTTAATATTTGGGTATCCACAGCATCTGATGTATTCTCCTAGGGCCTTTGGAAGTGAGACTATAATAGTTACCTGTCCTCATGAACCTTAAATTTTAGGGAAAAGAAGACATGCAGCTATGCTCATGGTAAATCAGAAGAATGTGCTGCATGGAAGAGTTTTGCATAGAGGAAAATACTCAGAAAATGAACCATTGTTTTAATGGAGAAAACAGTTAATATTAAACATTAGTGGCACTTCAGGACATTATTTTTCTTTAATCATTATTACATGTGAATCCTCTGATCAAGCTGGATGATGCTGTAGATGTTGATGAGATACTGACTGATACTTCTACCAGCTACCTTCTATGTATCTATGAAAATAAGGAAAACATTAAGGACAAAAAAATGGGGAACATTTTCATTGGCATTGTGGTAAGTATTTTGTAGGTGAAAAAGGAATAATAACTGTTCATGGTATTTCTAAACATGAGAATCACAAATGGTTTATAATGAGGATAACTGATGAGATATGCCTTGAAGTAGTTGAACTGGGAAGCATTGTCCTCATTAGATTATACATTACATCACTAGTTACAGTATTCTCCTATCTCAGCACTCTGTGCTATGGAAAGATACAGATAGTTTTGGTTCATATGCTTCAGGATTTTAGGGTTGAAGGTAAGTGGAGTAATAGGCATAAATGTGGACAGTGTGCACATAGTAGAATAAAACATAAGCCAGCCACATGCATGGGTAGCAAGAGTTTTCTAGATTTCCTCTACAGGCTTGAAATTAAACATGAATGATTCTAGAATATTCTATCTAGATTTGGAGAAAGGGATAGTTAGAGAAGTGATAATTGACCAATGTAAAACACCAGACTAAGTGTTAGGAATATTTATACTCAGTGTTTCATATAAACATGGTTCGTGAATCATAGTTTTCTTGCCCTTGCCTTATGGCAATTTATGAATACATTTGCTCATTTACATGCCTACCTGGACCATGCTCAAAATCTTTTTAGGGCCTTTGACAATTATTAAATACCTTTGTCCTGTTGTACATTAAGTGAAAGCAGGGCTTTTTGCCTGAGTAATAACTTCTCTTTGCTTTTTAAAATTTCTACAGTCAGTGACAATATCAATAAATTCTTACAATCTGAATGTCTCCAGTGTGACTTTTAATACCTTATTCTGTGTTACTCTGTGCTAACTTGGCATTTGCTTAACCTGTAAGCTCTTCTCTCAGGGAGTTAGCATTACCGTAGGGATTGGATGGCTCTAAGCCAATTAGATTTTTTTTTCTTCCTTGAGAAGCACGTTTTATCTAACTGCAGACACAGTTGGACCTATCTACAAATAGTAAAGTTATTTGCTTTTAGGCTTTAACATATGTTGTATGCTATTTTATATTTACCTGAAACTCAGTTTAAAGAACAGAGTTGACAATGTATAGTTCCTTCTTTGCACATTTAGAAATAACCTCTAATCTACTGCCAGATCTAACCATAGTATGTGAAGTGGGATTCAAAAATAAAAAGAAAGTGGTAATTTGCCCTTTCAGTGTTTTTTTTGGATCCTCTCTTGACCTCAGAAACCACTTTTGGATTGATGATATCCAGAGTTCAGGATATCATCAGTCCAAAAGTGGTTATAGGGTGTGGATATAGGATGAATTATAGGATGTGAATATTTTCAGCTGGCTCAACCTCTCTCCTGAGCTCCAGGCTTTTGCATCTAAATTAGTATTAAGCAAGGGCACTCAGAATTTTCTGACCCTTCAAACTCAGTGGCTGAAATGGAACTCATTTTCCTTTACCTTCAGAACAGTTCTTCCTGGATTTTTCCCTGCTGTGATCAGTGTTAACCATTCCATAGTCACAGCCTGGGGGTCATCTTCGTGTACTGGCAGTGAGTCTAGAATTGAAGGCTTCACTATTGGAAAAACACGGTGATTAGGACCATTGCCTTAAGTATGGACAGTATGGTTCTAAACAGATTGACTTTAAATTTCTCTTCTTGTTTTTTGGTACCAGTGATTGAACTCGGGGGCACTTGACCACTGAGCCACATCCCAGTCCCATTTTGTATTTTATTTAGAGAATGGGTCTCACTGAGTTGCTTAGCACCTTGCTTTTGCTGAGGCTGGCTTTGAACTTGTGATCCTCCTGCCCTCAGCCTCCTGAGCCATGGGGATTATAGACGTGCGCCACCATGCCCGCTTAGCTTTCTTGATAATACATACCTTATAGAATAATGAAGTTTCAGGTGTTACAATAGAAAATTTCTCTGATTAAATTTAGTAACAGAATATTTGGCTGGCTGATAAGTTTGTTATTTGAACATCTTTTAAGTGGCTTTTGTAAATGCATGATTATAGACTGTGGGACATAAACTTAGATATGTATCCTGAGACACTGATACTATAGATAGTATAGTATGGAATACTATAGAAAGCTTTTTTTTTTTTTTCTGCCTGTAATTGTTTACTTTGAAACTCACTGATGAATATGTTGGAAGGCAAAACAGTCTTATTTACATTGCTTTTCATAGAAAGGTCTCTCTGGTATGACTTTCCTAAAAAACATTAAGCTAACTGCCTTTGATTTAAAATTGAGGTCTTGTGAATTTTTTA